AGGAATGGAAATTCAGACAGGTGTGTTCCATTGAGGGTGTTTTGTTATCTTTCTTCCAGTTTTTAGCAGTATTGTTGGAATCTGTTGTAATAAAATCAATTCTAATCTTTCTTTGTAGAAGAGTATAAAGTCAGCCGCTCTGCATAGGAAGAGAATAGATGCTAACAGAAGAGAAGCTGCTTATAAATGCTGGAAAACTTTGTTTTAAAACTTGGACTCTTAAATCTTACCTATTACCGAAATAAGTTGTTCTTTTTCTGTATGGCTACTAGTGCAGCACTTGGGTTTGAAGTACTCTATATTGCAGTGACCTTGTCCTGCAGATTACTGCTGCAGATTGGGCTGGGGGTCTCTCAGAGCCCATTTGCCTCACGTCAGAGCTACATCTGTCAGTAACCTTTTGTCTACAGAGTGTGAGGTTGGAAGGCAGTGCTACTCTTCAGGCAGCCTAGGAAATGCTTCTTCCCAGGCAATCAAGGTGCATACCAAAGTAATTGAACTTTACAAAAAGCTAGACTCTCTGCTCCCATTGCATTTAAAATTTGCAATTTACAATTACTTATAATTGATCTTCAACGTGTCCTAAAGTTTTAATTACAGGCTCAGTCACCAGAAAGTTTTTGTATAGCCTGGACTTACAAATGTAACCTTTTCCCTCATAATTTTGAAACAGCAAATGCGGCAAAAAAGTAAGCAGCAAGCCAAAATAGAAGCCACACAGAAGCTTGAACAAGTGAAAAATGAGCAGCAGCAACAGCAGCAGCAACAGCAGCAGCAGCAGTTTGGTTCACAGCAGCTTCTGAACCAGTCTGGCTCAGACACACCTAGCAGTGGGATCCAGAGCCCCTTAACACCACAGACTGGCAATGGAAGTATGTCTCCTGCACAACAGACATTCCATAAGGATCTATTTGCAAAGCAGCAGCTACCTGCTACGCCTACGTCAGCATCCTCAGATGATGTGTTCTTAAAACCACAAGCTCCACCCCCTACTCCAACCCGAATCCCAGCACACGATTCTCAGTCTCAGACTCCTCAGACATCACAGCAGATGTTTTCTCCAGGTTCCACAAACACAAGACCTCCTTCTCCAATGGACCCATATGCTAAAATGGTGGGAACACCTAGACCAGCACCCATTAACCAAAACTTTCCTAGAAGGAGTACCATTGCACCATTAGATACCTGTGCACCACAGTCATCCATATCTAGGCCCATTCAGGTGACTGAACCATCAGGAAGCAGGCCTTCACCAGTCAGGGATTCATGTTCTTCATCTCCAAGCAGCAACGATCCCTATGCAAAGCCACCAGACACACCCAGGCCTGTCATGGCATCAGAGCAGTTCTCCAAACCACTGGGAGTCCCAAGGTCACCCATAGTTATGGAACAGACAGGGAAGGTTCCTTTAACAGCTGGAAATAGTGACCCATTTACCAAGCCAGCACCTAGAACAGACACGTTTCAGCGGCAGAGGGTGACTTCTGACCCGTATGCGCGGCCACCACTGACCCCTGCTCCTGTTGATGGCAGCCCTGGACCTTTTAAAACTCCCATGCGCCCACCTCAGTCCCCACAAGATCCTTATGCATCAATGCCAGGTACACCAAGGCGTGTTGCTGTGGATCCGTATGAAAGGCCTCCTTTGACACCAAGGCCAGTGGATAACTTTTCCCATAATCAACCTAACGATCCGTACAGCCAGCCTCCCCTTACTCCTCATCCTGCAATAAAGGACACTTTTGCCCATCCACCTCGGATAGTGCGACAGCAAAGTGATTCTTTCCCTCAGTCTGGACCTATTTCAAGGCCAGCTTCTCAGGATCCTTACTCCCAGCCTCCAGGTACTCCTCGGCCAGTGGCTGATCCTTATGCCCAACCTCCAGGAACTCCTCGGCCCACCACAGTTGATCCATATATGCAGCAACCACCAACACCAAGACCTTCTCAGCCAGCAGATTTATTTTCTCAGTCCCCAGCAAATCAGAGACACTCTGATCCATATGCCCAACCTCCTGGAACACCAAGGCCAGTTCTCAGTGATCCTTATTCTCAGCAACCAGCAACCCCAAGGCCAGGGATTCCAGAGAGTTTTAACAGACCTGCAATGACAAGACCGGGACTGATACCAAGTAGAGATCCTTTCCTGCAGACACCACAGAACAGGTTGCAAGGCACTTTTGTCAGGCCATCAGATCCATGTTCTCAAACTCCCAGACCTGCAGGACCTGCAGTAACGGATTCATTTAGCCATGGCCCAGCTGCTTCAGCACGTGACCCATATGATCAACCACCGATGACTCCAAGGCCTCAGCCAGAATCCTTTGGGACTGGTCAACTGGCCCACGACGCTGCTGAACAGCCACGGCCTGGATCTGAGGGAAGCTTCAACACATCTGCAAATTCTCCTGTGAGTTCTCAAGGACAACAATTTCCCAAAGTTTCACAAGTTCCTGGCCCGGTGCCCACTACTGGAGTAACAGATACACAGAGTACCATGAATATGTCTCAGGCAGACACTGAGAAATTAAGACAGGTGAGAACTATGTTTAACACTGATGGTACTAAAATTTAGTAAGTAGAAGAATTTCACCCATTCTTGATAATATTTGAAGTTTCTTGCCTTTAAACATAACTAAGTAATATAGAATTATCTTCATTATCTTAGTATGTTAATTTGGTTGTCCTAGATAGAACCACAAACTATATGGAAACATGAGTAATTTTTAAGGAGTTTGGACAAGATTCAGAAAGGAACTAGAGGCCATCTTAGAAGCCATCAAAGATGTAGATGAGTCTGTAATAGCTTATCTTCAGTGTGAGGGAAAAAAACACACAATTAACCTTATAATAGGTGAGATGTAGAACTGATTGTCAGTGACTTGTTCACTGACTGAAAAAGGATAGGCCAAGATTTCAGATTAAACAACTAACTTTTCAATCACTGACATGTTGAGGCGAATCCTACTGTTGGTCACTGCTCTTCCAGAGGCACATTCACTCCAGGCTTTTGTCAATGAATGTTTTGCAAACAGCTCTTACTGAGACATAGAATTATTTTCAACTTGTGGGAGGTCGTTCAGTCATCTGTTTTGGAAGGGGTGATGGGAAGTAAATTTAGTGGAAAAATCAGTAGTATTTATCTTACAGAGTTAGAGTAAATTCTGCAACTTTGGTGTAATCGTCTTGCTGCTTTTCTTGGCCTCTAGTCCCCCTTCTCCCTCAGAATGCACTTTTCATGTGGAAAAGAGCCTGCATTATCAGAACAGAAAAAGAAAAGAGGGTTACTTATGTGTTAATTGGTGAAACAGGTTCACACTGTACCCTTTAACAAGAGGTCTGGAGATTAAGTGGCATTACCAGCATCTTGCACCATTTGATCTCTCTTCTAATTTCTGAGGTGATTATGGTCATTTATAATATTTTTCTGTAGAAAAGTTTGAAGAGTTTCTTTCTTCCAAAAGGCATAACCAAGCAGAACGTAACAGTTCCAAACATGTCAATTGCAGGGTCAAGCACAATATTGTTTTTGTGTTGTTTTGTTCTTTTTTTAAACAGCGCCAGAAATTACGTGAAATTATCCTGCAGCAGCAGCAGCAGAAAAAGAATGCAGTTCGTCAGGAAAAAGCCTTGCAGGATGCAGCAGCTCCTACCCATGCAGCTCCTCTTCAGCACTGGCAGCAAGACAATTTAAATCAAATTTTTAACCGCCCTCCTCCTCCATATCCTGGGAATATTAGGTCTTCTGTTGTCCCACCAGGTGGGCCAAGGTTCCCTGTATATCCAAAAGACCAACGTGGACCATTTCCTGCT